TTTCACATATGCATGTGAAATATAGACAATGAATAAGGAAGACCCAAGAAGAATGAATGACTTTTAATTATGGTTTTGGGGTTTCAGATGTGGTGCTATAGGATAAGCACTGGGCTGCTAACCACAAGGCTGGTGCCTCAAACCTATCAGCTTTTCCTCAGAAATCCTATTCAGGGTCTCTATGAGTCAGAACTGACTCTATAGCATTAAACAACAACAATAACAATTATGGTGTTGGTGAAGAATATTAACTATACTATGGACTACCAAAAGGAAAAATAAATATGTCTTGGGAGAAATACATCCAGAATGCTCCTTAGAAGTGAGGATGGCAAGACTATATCTTACACATACTTAGGAAATGTTATCAAGAGATGTCCTTTGAGAAGGATATCATGCTTGGTAAAGTATGATGTAAGTGAAAAGGAAAACCACCAATGAGATAGACTGACACTGACTATAGCAACGGACTCAACAGTAAAAACCAGGCAGTGTTTCATTCTGTGTCCAAAGGGTTTCTTTCTGTGAGTTGGATCCAACTTGATGGTACCTAACAATAATAACATAAAACTTGGGAAATTGTTGAAAATGTTGACCATAAAGACAAAAAATAAGCAGATTTCAGTGGCTGGAGTCCTGATGGATGAGTACCATTATTTATTCTATCTTATAGAGTCTGATGCACTTACCAACAACAACAAATAGAAAGAATTACAGTTTTTTTCTGGGTTCTGAGTTTGTTCTATTCACTTCAAGGAATTTGAGTGTGGAAAAGTTAAGGTGTTAATGTTAACATAAGTGATAACATCTGTTTCTAATCTTTTTGTTACATGTAGACAGGGACATCAATTGTGAGTTTATAAAACCCATTTTTGAATCTTGAAATATTAAATTCTTTTAGGTTAATAATGAACTTCCTTAGCTAAAGTAAAACAAAAAAACAAGCAAACAAACAAAAAACACCGTCCTTTTCAAAATTACTTTCCAAAGCAATTTGTAAATATAAATGTTCTCATTTATGTGAGGAGACCTAAAATAGTACAGTGTAATCGTTGTAGCCATCTTCAGATTATTCTAAAGTGATACATGTGATCTTTTAAGGAGATTTTCTGTGCTACTTTTGTTGTGCTGATAGGGCTAAAGGGTAAAGTTATAGAAGCAGAGAAAGGATGAGAGGTAGGATAGCATAATAGTAGAGGATAGAGGGGTCTGAGGAAGAAAGTTTTAGAAATTTTAATCAAGGCATAGAAAAAAAGAGACCTAGTATAGGCAGAAATTTTGAGATGAGAGCTTTATCTTTCTTAACCAAGACAAATCAAAACAAAACAAACAATCCCATACCCAGTGTCATGGAGTTGATTCTGATTCATAATGACCTTACAGAACAGAGCAGAACTGCCCTATAAGGATTCCAAAGCATCCAAATATTTCTCCTGTGTTGTGGTTGGTGGGCCATACTAGATTAGCATCTAATCACTTAATCACTGAGCCATCAGTGTTCTTTTTACAGAACAAATATTTGAAAGGGAAAGATGTCAAAATGGATTTTTTAGGAAACATGGTTGAGTAATATGTAATTTAATTCATCCTTCATGACCTCTTCAAAACACTGTCTGGGAAGACTTTTGCTTTTGAAGGTTAGGATTTGGATTTATATTTCATTTAAGGACTTAGATCTTAAAGCTGTAGCTGGAAAGCTGTTTATTCAGGTTATAGATGGAGTACTAGTGTGGTGCTACAGGATAAGCACTGGACTGCTAACCACAGGGTTTGTGGTTCAAACCCACCAGCCGCTCCTTGGAATCTCTATTGTTGTTAAGCATTGTGGAGTCAGTTCCGACTCATAGTAACCCTGTATAGGGTTTCTGAGGAATGGCTGGTGAGCTTAAACTGCTGACTTTGCAGTTCAAACTGACTGCAGTCCAGCACATTAACACACAGCACCACACCAAGATTACTGGAATCCCTATTGTTGTTAAGTGCCATCGAGTCAGTTCCGACCCATAGCCACCCTGTGTAGAGTTTCCAAGGACCAGCTCGTGAACTTGAACTGCTGACCTTGCAGTTCAAACCGACTTTGCCATCATTAAACAGGGCCACTATTAATAACCAACTTGATGGTACTTAACAACAAGATAGTTGGATACGTTTTAAAGAGTAATACAGAGTGAAATAAGAGAAATCTTTTTGATAATGACATTCATATTTATTTGCCAATTGTTATAAGACAATTCAACACAAAAGTGCGGTAATTCTATATTCTTTTGCAATTTCTCATTGCTACTTAAACATGTATTTTGTTTAATAATTGGCATACCTCATTTCTCTCCTTGATTATGCATTATTTTTACACTTTTCCAAGTATGCCTTATACTATGAGCTAATAACTTATGTATAGACTAGATATTGACCATTCAGAAAATGAAAACAGTTTTCTTCAACTGTCTGCTTTTCAAAATCCAAAGAATCCTCAATAGCATAGATTTGGAAATTTAAAATAAAGCAGGGATATGAATGTATATGCATATACTGTAGTTATCAAAGATTATTTCTGAAGGCTTGTGATTATGGAGGTTTTTCATTTTCTTTCTATAATTAAGTTCTATGCTTATGAATATTAAACAGTTTTGATTACTGAATTATATGCACCAATAAATCTCAAAATGTTCATGTAAAATTTCCAAATGAGTTAGACAATTCAACTGTTAATATCACGGGGTCCATGAATGGTAGGCAGTGAAGAAATATCCTTAGTTTTTAATGTTTCTATTTAATTTTGCACACATAATTCAATCTTGCTTTGACTATGATGAGGATCAAAATTATACTTTAAATGATCATGCTAACAGTTTTGAAAAGAAGAAATGGAGTTTTGTAGGAATGTTAGAATATGAGACGAGAGACAAAATGAAAAGGCAGCTTTATAATACTAGAGAATGATTTATGGGGAAAAAAGAGATATATAAATTAATAAGATTCAGAATAGGATCACTAGAACTTTATAAGCAAAAAAAAAAAAAATCTTAACAGAGAATTTTTATCTTCCAATTACTAAATGCCCATCCTATAGAATTTTAAATACTTTAATAGGAATTTATTTCATCAAAGTATACAGAAGTTGCTGACAGAGTCCTATGGAAGACCATAATTATTCTATTCCTTATTTTCTAAATACCTTTTTTGTTGTATTATAAAAATAAATATATATGGTTAATAAATTTAATCTGTTTTACATCTGTTCTTGTTTAATATACATTGAAGACAGATAAATAAGGAAATTTTATATTTCTCTAAATGTATCCAGATTTATGTAAATGTACCAAGCAAACTACAGATAGTTTATGAGTGATGCACAGCCATGCAGGAGATGGCTAGAAAACGTTGCTAGCTATCATGACACACTTACTTAAAAAATGATGGATTTCCCACTTTTTTCTTTTTTAGTATGCTTTAAGGAATAATTGCAAAGACTTGCTTCCTTCTAGCTCTATACTTTTTTTAAAAAAATTATTTAAGTGAGAAAAATTTAGCTATGGTAGGCAAAATCCAGGAGATAAATCAGCAAAACAAAATATGTGGAATGGTCTAGTTTAATGGGGCAATCAACAAAATCTTAAAATAAGGAAAAGAGGAGAAAGTTAGGCTCCTTTAATAATTTAAAGAATTTAAAACTATTATCACCAAAAATTAGAATTTAGGTAGGAATTTGAGAATGTGGATAGAGTACCTTTATCTCTGAGATCAAATAAACTGATTTGTTAAATCAGCATCTTTAGACAATTGCTCTGTGCTAGTCACCCCCTTTAATTTTTTTTTCTCTACTCATCCACCTAGCACAGCAGTCTTTTTTTCTTAAATTTTACAGGGAGCAGTTGATTTTATAATTGAATCACCCCACAAGGTAGCAGTATTTTGATAAGCTGACTGAGCTTAGTTCATTGAAAAATATATTTCCTTTATTTTTGTAGCCTCTGAAAAGCAGAAGATTATGACACAACACATGTTAGCTGTATTCACATTTTTATATTATTGTATTAAGGACTGAGGTTGACACACAATTATGCTATGTGTTTGATCTGTGTATATTTTCTTTGGAATATGCAGTGGGATACTTGTCCCTTGGAAGGCTGGGAAAACAGCTCAGCATGTTCATGAAGCTTATTATTTTTTTAAAAAATAAAACATAAAATTCTTAAACTTGCGACATCAGACAAGTTAGCTAGATGTGTTTATTTTCTGGAATCTCCATATAACTATCATAAAATTCTGCTTAATTAAATTAATTAATCTTTTTACATTAAATCTAAGGCTATAATCTTAATTTTTATTCAAAGCAATTCTATTGAGTACTCTTAATTTTCTCAGTGCCTTGCTTATTGCTTTTGCAAACTTGTAAAGATGAACCAAGGGAGCAGTCATGGGTTTGTTCCATGCCTCACTTTTTGGAAGCCATTAGAGCAATGGACTAACTCTTGATCTTTCCAGGGGTAATCATCATAAGGTAGAAACAGAATACAGTTAGTAGAAACTAGAGGTGCAAAGTCTTTAAACTACCACCTACAGTGAGCTATTTAGGATACTATAAAGTTAATTTAAAAAACAAAATAGGCAAACTCAGCCTTAGAAGATTTAAAAGCACAGTACTTTTTGTCCCAATCCCTCCCCAATAATCCTCTTCTCCCCATAGTCACACGTGACAAGAATTCACTACATGAAATCATTGGTCATTTTTGCAAATAATCCCAACAAAATGAGGCACAAACATTTAAACTGTTATATATAAAAAATAACATACAGCCCATCGAGTTAAATCTAATTATCTAAAAAATAAATAAGTCAATTTGGAAGCGATCTGATCACAAACCATGAAAGAAAAGTTATTTCTTTCTCATATACCATCTAAATACATCATTGAGTAAGTCGTCCTGGGCAAATTCCTTTGGGTAAATCATGGAAAACTTCCCAAATACAAAGTTACACATCCATGCTGAGTTATTTACCATTGTGTAGCAACAATCTTCAGTGGGCCACAGTTTTATTTGCAAGTAATTGAGAGAGGAGCTATGTAGCATGATTTTAAAACCCAGGTTGGAAGCAAAAATCTAAGGTATGTAACCCAAAATCTGAACAGGAGATTGCAGTTTATGAAGTGATGTTTGGAGAATCAGAAGAGAGGGTAGCAGAGAGGATGTATTTCATTTTAGAAATGCTGAGGCACAAAACACAGGTGCTTGCAGTACTTTCATACATGAAATCCTTTCTCCTGTATATGCATCATGTGTAAACGTAAAGTCTGAATACTGCTGACTATTCGTCTCTGGTGTCCAATGAGTATGACTCCAATTCTTCTAATATCACTGAGAGAGACAGAGAAAGAGAGAGAAGCAGAATATATAGAATATTAGACAGCTGTTGTGTGCCCTTGAGTCAGTTTCAACCCATAATGACCCTCTATAGAGTTTCCAAGGCGTGGCTGGTGAATTTGAACCGCTGACCTTATGGTTCAAACTGACTTTGCAGTCCAGTGCATTAGCCCACAATACCAGACCAGGACTCTAGACAATTACGTGTGGTAGATATGAGCCTGGAAAAAAATGAACATTTAGCTCTAGTAAATATGTACCATGTCAGATTTGCTTATGAATTTGCCAAAAAGAATATAGCAGGTAAATGAGAGTTTAAGCAGAGATATAAAAGGAACAGCAAGGGTTTGTTCATTTGACTTCCTCCAGATACCAAGGTCTGTATCAAGTTAATCTCAAATTTAAGAGTATAGGGAAAATTTTCAAATCCAAGTACCAATATAAATTCAGAAATTTCATAGGTGGACTCCTGGTATGGTAGGATTAGCACTGTATTGTGAGTCACAAAGTTGGCAGTTCAAACCCACCAGTTGTTCCTCAGAAACCCTATACAGGGTCACTATGAGTCATAGCCCACTGGATGGCACCGACTCGACAGTACTCAACAACAGAAGCAGAGATTATATGGAGTCCTGGTGTGGTGTTATAGGATAAGCACTAGACTGCTAATCACAAGGTTGGTGATTCAAACCCACCAGCCACTCTTCAGAAACCTATACAGCATTGCTATAAGTTGAAACCAACTCAGAGGCACTTAACAACAAAGAGATGACATAATTTAAGTAATTATGTAAATTTGCAGCAGCATTAACAAAATGGTGAGCATGTAGGGTTGAAAGTATAATGTGGGATCATTTTAGTTCTAATGGTCTTTTAGTAAATTGACACATATTGCCATTGTATTATCTTGAGCCTAATGAAATTGTCATTGTTTTAAGCATTAGATAGAGCCATATGAAATTGTCATTATTTTTAGTAATGACAATATCTAATAGTTTTAGTATCTCATCTTTTACATTTATGTTGAGTGTTTTACTGCGCTCAGGCAAAGGATAATCTTTGAAAGAGTAGAAAAATTCTCAGCCATGATAATGTACAAAGGAGCTCTGAAATGCCATTATAATGTTTTATTAATTCAATGGTGGTAATAGGAATCAGCTATGCAGTGTTTATACACATGAATTGTGAATAATTTGTCAAAGTAAAACTTAGGTTGATGGAAAAGCTATGATGTGAAAGAGCAATTTCAGATGGCAATGAAAAATATTTTTAAAGACTGCTTAAGTAAAATATATTCTTTCAAAAAGTAATCGTTAAAAGTGTAATTTCTATCCAACTTCCAGTAGAACAATAGTCAGAAATTGTGAGAAAAGACATGAAAAGACCATACTAGCCTTTAGAAATGTGGATTAACTGTGGTGTTCCTGACACAACATTTGAATTGATAATCCCCTGTGTTGTTGTTGTTGCTGTTAAGTGCCATCAAGTTGGTTCCTACCTATAGCGACCCTGTATAGGGTTTCCAAGGAGCAGCTGGTGAGCTTGGACCACCGACCATGCAGTTCAAACAGCTTTGCAGTCTGACGCATTAACCCACAGCACCACACCAGGACTCCAATACCCCGTGTAGAGAATCTAAATACAGTGACAACACTAATACCACTTACTCAATACTCATTCTTGAAATCAAGTCAAAAGTTGTAAATCCTGCCGCCATGAAGTTATTCTTATATTGCCCCATCTTTATAGAATCCAACCAGTCACCAACTGTGACAAATAAAGGATATTCAGGAACTTCACCAGGAGACTCTGGCATTCTACAAGGAGAGAGAGGGAAAAAAAAGCGAGACCATTTAAATCATCTAAAGCAAGAACTATTTAATTGCTTTTTCCTCCTGCAATATTCTTACATTAAATGTTTCTTTCATCTTGCATTAAAAATAATGTACAAGTGATCAAAATAGATCTCGCAATGTACTTTTGACGATGAATATGATACTATTCCTCTTCAATTTGTCTTTCCCAGCAGAGTAAACCATATGATTGTCTGAAAAATGGCCAATACCAGTCCATTTAAGTTCATTAATGCCTAGGGTATCAATCTTTATGTGCTCCATTTTATTTTTTACAATTTCAAATTTTCTTAGATTCATATTTTGTACATTCTATGTTCCTACTATTAATGCAGCTGTTTCTCTTCATTTTTAGTTTTGTCTCAACAGCAAATGAAGGTCGCATAATTCATGTCATAATTGTCAACTGTTCTTTGAGGAGGCAGCTCTCCCCCAGTCATATTTTGAATGCCTTTCAACATGAGGGACTCATCTTCCAGTACTTTATTTGACAATGTTCTGCAGCAATTCATAATACTTCCATCTTTTGGAACTATATCTGATCATGTTTTGCTGATATTCATTAGGTTTTCAGTGGCTAAACATTCAGAAGTAGTCTTCCTCTTCTTTTCCCTAGTCAGGAATCTCTGCTGAAACCAGACCATTTTGGTGGTACTTCAAACACCAGTCACATAGCTTCCAGCATCTCAGCAATAGGCAAGTCACCACAGTATGACAAACTGACAGCCAAGTGTTGGTAGACCCCATACGACTCCAGAAAATTATGAAAAGTGCCCCATGGAATTGTTCAGTACAGAGCCCCTACAAAATTCATTTATTTATATTTATTTCTTTTTTTGATTGTCAAGTTCACCTTCCTTTTTCTAAACTGATGTCTAATTGATGGTGCATTGGGGTGTTGAATTATGATAGGGAGAAATATAGGGAGTTTTGCTCTTTATATATAACTAGAATTTGCACAAATTAAATGTGTTTATCTTATGTTTATACTCTACTTCGTGTGGTATTAATTACCTTTAACAGTGATTTGTGTCCACTACTCGATTCTATGAACACATTCCCTATTTTATAGCATTAAGCCACATTCTTTTCTCCTATACTAAAACTGTAGTTTTATTTGATTATGGTTTGTTTCATTCTTACTGACCTCAGAATGATTCCTGATTTGACTTGAAACAAAGGTTAGTTATAGCCAATGACATAAAAGCTATCATAGCATCCACCAACTAACACTTGAATTGTAGCTATAGTTCCTCAGCATTTCCTTTGTTGTTGTTGCTAAGTGCCACAGAGTTGGCTCAGACTCATAGCCACCCATTTTCTTGGGAGCAGCTGGTGGGCCTGAACCACAGACCTTGTGATTCCAAGTCCAATACTTATCATATGGAACACCACAGTCCCATATTAATAAGCACTATCAAATAAATAAAATTTCATCTATAAAACGCTAAATACTAAAGGTACCTACAGCAAACAGAGTTAAATAGGTTTTGGTTGCAGTTTTTCTGAGTTTCTTACTACTCTAATGTGATTGTGACTAAGAAGACTTAGAAAAGCCTCTATGGAATTTTCCTAAATTATTTGACTGATTTCTATGGAACATATTTTGGAAAATACTGCTGTACTTAATTTACTAAGTTTAAATATCAAAATGATAGTATATCCCTGTTATTAATAACATTAATAAAGCCACATATGTTAGAAAATTGAGAGAATGTTCCATCCCAAAATATCTTACCTTTTAGTTACTTACCAAAGAAGTTTGTTGACAATGAACAAAATTAGAATGGCTTTAAGTGACCTCCCTTCAAAATTCTGCGTCATTCTTGATGTACCCACATTTTCCGATGAATTCCCTTTCGCACTCCAGAGATGACGCTAGAACAACTCTTGAGCTTTCATAATCTCTTATCTTTGGTGAGTGGAAAGGTAATTTGGGACTCTGTGGCTTAATGTCCTAGACTGAAAAGTCGGTTTACAATGCAAAGTAGGTGGCCCAAGCTCACCAGTTGCTCCTCAGAAACCAATTCCAAGGCACTTTACAACAACAACAACTATAGTGAAGAAAGATCATGGAAAGGCATTCTGTATTCTAAATGACTTAAATGTCCTATTTCCTTATTGAAAAGCATTCACTGTTTGATTCTAACATGTTTCAATACCACAATTCCCTTTCTCTCCACACATCTTTACTAACCTAGTTACTCTCTGGCCTTTATAAGACTGCAACAGCAGTTGATTTAGTAAGGTCAAGCTCCTTTCATTGTTCACAGTCACTGGGCAATAACTTTTCTTTCACCTTATCTTATGACAAAGTTGAAAAATGCTGCTATTTTCTGGTTTTGAGGGTTGAGTAACAACACCCTCACATGAATTCTTTGGAATATTATCTAGTAAACAATAAATGTCCTTCCTTATCAAACAAGTACAATGATAAATTCAGTCTGCTATTTGCTGAGCATGCAGAAATTTCTGCTACTCTGTGATTAGTGGCTGCTGCCCACCTGAAAAAATATCTTTACAGCAAAATCTACATTAAAAAAAAGTACATACTGAGGGAAAAAAAGTCAAGGGTCAACTGAGGAAGAAGTAGAATTTAGAAAATTCTAGGTATATATTACTGATGGAGTCCTGGTGTGGCACTGTGGGTTAATGAGCCAGACTGCAAAGCCATTTACACTGCAAGGTTGGTGGTTCAAGCTCATCAGCTGTTCCTTGGAAACTCTATACACTACGGGTTGGAACCAACTCGACGGTACTTCACAACAACAACAACAACAACATATTATTGATAATTCAGATTAGGAAAGGGTCTGGAGATTAATTTAACAGACAGTGGATAAAAGGTAATGCTACATTCAAGGTGTAAGAAATACATACTCAAATTACACCTGAATGGTATGGTGCTGTGGGTTAACGCACTGGACTTCAAAGTTGCTTTGAACTGCAAGGTCGGCAGTTCAAGCTCACCAGCAGCTCCTCGGAAACCTATACAGGGTTGCTATGAATCGGAACTGACTTGATGGCACTCAGTAACAATATGTAAAAATAAACATATTTTGTATGTTTACACGGATAGAATCAGGAAACTTTATTTAATGCATTTGTTGAACTTGAAATAGTACTGTTCTTTTAATTTTGTTATTGTTGTTTAGTGCAATAAAGTGATCCTGTATAAGGTTTCTGAGGCGCGACTATAGGTTTGAACCACCAACCTTGCAGTTAGCAGTCTAGTGCTTATCATACAGTGCCATACCAGGACCGCTATAATGGTAGTTGTTGTTGTTAAGTGCCGTTGAGTCAGTTCCGACCCATAGCGACCCTGTGTAGGGTTTCCAGTAATGGTAGTAGAGCTATTAAAATTATTCAGAAAGGTTATAATTTGAGAAACATAACATAAACATTTTATTTCAACTCAAGTCCAAACATATTGCCATTGAGTTGACTTGAACTCATAGTGACCCTATAGGACACAGTACAACTGCTCCATAGGATTTCAGCGTAGTGCTTACAAATCGGGCTGCGAACCTCAAGGGTCGGCAGTTCGAAACTACCAGCTGTTCCGCGGGAGAAAGATGAGGCTTTCTGCTCCCGTAAAGATTTACAGCCTCGGAAACCCTGTGCAGAGTCGCTATGAGTCGGAACTGACTTCACAGCACATAACAACAAGAACAAACAGCCTTTATGGAAGCAGACTACCAAATCTTTCTCCTGTGGAGCAGCTGGTGAATTCAAACTACTACATTTTGATTAACAGCCGGCTGTGTAATTACTGTGCCATGCCACCAAGCTCTTTCTCCCTTTACTACCATAACTCTTAAATGTTTTCCCTAGCTTTTACATTTATAGATAGTTAGCATACCTGTAAAGATGGGCATATTCTATTTTATACTTTATTTCACACATATGTGATTATTTCCCATGTTTCTACAATCTTTACTACTATTACTCAAAATTGTTGTAGTTGTTGCTAAGTGCCTGTAAGTCCGTTCCAACTCATAGCAACCCTGTATAGGGTTTCCAGAAGCGGCTGGTGAGTTTGAACTGCTGACCTTGTGGTCTAGTGTGTTTTCTACAGCACCACATCAAGATAATTAGGTGTATAATATTCTATAAGTTGATGCTTAGTAATTTATTGAGTTAATTCCCTGAAGTTAGACTATTAGATTGCGTACAACATGCTTTTATTATAGATGACCTTGTGGTCTTAGAACATGCATCTTTTTGCTTCAGTTGAATTACTTCCTTGGGAAAAATTCATAAGAAGGAATTTTATTTATTTGTTTTTTGAAGAGTAGATTAAATTCGCTGATGGCAGTGACAATATCTTACACATCTCTTTTTTTTATTTCTGTAGAATTTATTACAAAGTTGAGCACATTATTGGAATTCATTAAATAAGAGATGATTTAGACTTGAATATGAAACTGTCTACAGAAAAGTTTGTTCTTTGACATGATGGTTGATTCATAATGAATGTTATTATTTTTATTTACTTCCATTTACTAAATAACCTAGAAGAGTGAATGATGATTGTAATGTTTAATCTATTATAATGTGTTAAATTAGTAGCATTAATTTTTTGTGTGTGTAGCAACCAATTTACTTAGTAAACCTTCAGTTATTATTATTATTTAATCCTATGATGATTTAATTCTCATAATAAAGTATGATAACTTGTGGAAGATAAAAATGGGTGCAATTCCACATAAAATTGAAAACTATAGATATGTTCAAACATTGGGAAAATAGATGCAGAGCAGGAACAACACTTCTTAAAAGTGTCCCATCATTCGGAGAAGTGCATGGTGTCTATAGCTGGAGTATTAGCTCATTGAATCTTAAGGAAAGTCTATTTTGTGAGAAAATAATACAGACAGAAAATAAATTTCACATCACATGCCAACTGCAGTTCATTGGCAATGGCTGTCAAAAATGTGATCTTGAGAAGGATACAAAATTAG